CCCCAAAACCCCAAAACCCCAAAACCCCAAAACCCCAAAACCCCAAAACCCCTTTCAAGAGCTGGGTTATTGAACAACTATTTAGCTATAAAATCTCTGCTCTTCAGTAAGGACATGTAGTCTCATCCTTTTTAATACAGTACACAATGTGCTCATCTATTCACTCTGCGTGAAATACATGTCCACACTGCTGCATCCTTCTAAGCATATCTCCTTGCACGAAGTCGTCTATACAAAGGGCTCATACTCTATCTTCAGTTTTCCCGAAGTAAGATTGGGCTCCTTCAACAGTCTCATCTACATTTAGGCAATCTTCAGTGAAGTACTCATTATTTGGGTCATAAGCAAACAGTTTCTGGTTCTCCATCCTATTGAATAATCTTGCTCCCTTATATTTGCAGTTCTTAGCGCTATCTTTGGGTAAAATACCAAGATCTTGCCGGATATTGTAGATGTACTGACTTCTATGAATGATCGACTATGAGATTTACTTGTCTAAGGAAAGATTATGCTTATCAAGGGGCTTATTGCTACACACCATCTTCCTGAAACGCTCCTGTTCTTTGTTGAATTGCTTAATGAGCTTTGCAATGGAAACTTTCTTTTGCTTTCTCTCTCTCTTTTCTCTCTTTTCTTTCTTTCCATTTTTAAGATTATCTAGCTTCTGTTTCATTTTCTCTTCCTTTTCTATTACCAGTTAGATTAGTAGGCCAAGATATTTAAAAAGTAATAATGAGACATTACTTAAGCATTGAGTTAATTTTAGCATCTTGGCTAAATCTTTATTTCTCTTTAAGGATTCTAGTAGTTTTGACTCAATTGAATCCTCTTCTGCTGTGGTATCTTTGCTCTCTTCATCAGGTATCTCTTCGTTGCTCTCATCTGACCTTGAGACATCCATGTCTTGGTCAACTTGTGACTCATCATTGCTTGAATGACTCGGCTCGCTGTTATCAAATTCTTTAGACTCTATAGTCCCGAATGATTCTTCACTTATCAGAATTTAAACAGACTTATCCAGAAAACTGCAAATTTGTGGATGCACCACTTACCCTCGATTGGAGACTCAGAAACAGCTTCTGTCACATCAACTTGGGTGTTGGTGATTCTTCCGAGTTTATGCTGCTTGCTGGCTTGCTTCTGCAGCTTCTTCTCTAACTTTTCTTTGTCTCTGAGTTTTTTGAGTCGCTGTTTCTCAAGTTTCTTCTGTGCTTTCATTTCAGCCTTCTGTTGTTTGAGTCTGGCTTTTTCAAGTTTCAAACTTTCTTTCTCAAGCTTCTTGAGTCGCTTCTGTTCGAGTTTGAGTTCGCGTTGCTCTCTACTGATGACAAATTGAGTTACTTCTTGTCTTGTTTGTCAAGCATTTTATGCTCTTTGTTATACATCTTGGCTTGTTTGGCATCTTCGGTTTCGTTAGTGAGTCTGCGGAGCCTACACACAAAATAGAAACATAAACACAAAAACCCACTAATACAACAACTTACTCAGCTCTCCTGAGCTGCCTCTCAAACTGTCTACGCTGTCTCTCCACATCAAAACTAGATTGTTCCTCATCATCAATCTGCTCTTGGTCAACTCTAGGCTTATGAACAATCCTAAATTACCCTCATAAAGCACCTTTCAGAACTCCGAAAAAGCCTTCAAGTGGGCCAGAGTTTTCTCTAAAATTTGGTTCATTCTGAATCTCTAATTCTTCATTCGAAAATTCGTTTTCTCTGTTTTCCATTATGTGTTTCTATCTGCAAAGTTAATACTTATCCAATTTTTTGCAAATTTATAGGGGTTTTGGGGTTTTGGGGTTTTGGGGTTTTGGGG